TCAAATTTCAGAGTCAACTAGTTGACTTTAAAATGTAGATATTTAAATTTGTATCATACGAAAAGTAGTAGCATGTTTATGAAATAGATGAGTTTGAGAAAAAAAATAAACACTGAATAAAGACAAACAGTAGATAACAAGAAAATCGAGATATTGTAACACAACAAAATACATACCAAAAGCCTAACAATTTTTACATTTTGATTTCCTATGAATGTGGCATTTGGTACAGCATTTTCTATTATTATTCTTGCAACAACATCGATTAGTATTGCAACCACTAGAGCATTTACATGTTTCTGTTAATTTAAAATTTGTGTAAATTTGACTTGCTTGAATAAAAGTAATGGATGGTAATTCATTGGTATTAATAGAACGTAATGATGCAAAATTCGCATTAGTAAGATCTAAAAATGCTGTTGAGTCAAAATGTTCTTTTATAATACCATTTTGTGTAGCAATTATGTGCATAAGTTTTGCATTTTTGGAATATTTATCAACTATTTTACAAGGCAAAATTGTGGAGGAAGTATTTTTACGATCAACATCTGAAACTTTTAAACCAACAATATTTCTACCTAGATGACCAACAGCATTATGACATTTATCAATTGTTTGAAACAGATTTTCATAGATGACAATAGGTAATTTTTCTTTTTTACAGTAAATTGTTCGTTGACCACCAAATGTAACAACAGTAAACGGCCTTTTTGCCCAAAAATTAAATGATGGATCGTATTTCTTTTCATTTGTTAGCACTTTCAACACTTTGTCGTACGTTTCAGCTGTTGTCAAATACTTTGATCGTCGTTTCACACTTAACGCACTCAGATAGGCATCTAACTTCGTGTAGAATATTTCTTTCATTATTATTAAATGAAATAATGTATCAAAATTATCAAGAAAATCTTTGTCGAATTTATTTCGGTTGTTTTTCCCCAGTTATAACTATGTATTATCGATTATTGCATAACAACTTTAAATATCTACATTTTAAAGTCAACTAGTTGACTCTGAAATTTGAAAGTCAACTAGCTCCATCCTAGTTCAATCCTTAATTTTATTGTAACCTAGTTGACAATACAATTTCAAAGTCAACTAGCTCCATCCTAGTTGACTCTTTAATTTTAATATCACCTAGTTGACAATAAAATTTTAAACTGAACTAGTTGCCTTTTAAAGGCAACTGAATTTTAATGTTAACTCCGACATATATATAGATTTCAGCTTAAATTATTCAAAATATTTTTTAACATTAAACTTAAATGGACTCTTCTCCCCTTTCCTAACTCAAAATTTTCATTTTTTGTAGTTAGTATACTGATCTAAATACCGTCTATCGATTGAGCGCACCTTGAGAACTGAAAATCCACATCTTATATATATAAAGGAAAAACTCTCAAAATATGCTGTTAAAACACAAATCTCTCTGCATTTGTCTAAAAATCCATTATTCATTTAAAAAATGAAGTTTTTCTCTCTTCATGCTTCAACCAAATTTTTTTAGTGTGAATACTTCGAACAAACGAGTATGTCTTTTTCTTTTTTCTCTCGAAAATCTTCTTGCTAAGGAATTTTACTAGGTACCATATAAGAAAAAAAACGCAGTTTTTCATAGTGCCATCAGTAATTTGGTTCTTCTGACCCTTAGAAACGATATTTTTCAAAGAACAAAAAAGTTCCTAGTATCTATAGAAAAAATTTCAACCATAAACAATGAAGTATAAGAGTTTGCAAGGAGAAAGACTTCAGGCCATTTTTCATCCTTGATTCGCAAATATCTTTGGAAAGAAAGTATTTTCAAATTCTCTGTCTACGACAACTTTTGCTCTACTCATCGAAATCTATTTATTTTGATGGTTTCAGAAAATTTCACCGAACTGTTCTCAAGAAATCTCGGAAACAGGAGTGGGGAGAAGAGGAAAGATCCCCTTAAAATTAAAAATATAAAATCGTTTAATATGTATATATTTCACTTAGATAAAGTTAAATTAAGCAAATTTATACTTTGTTCGTTAAGATTTTTTTTATCAAAAACATTTGATAAACGTAAAAAATTATTTTATTTTACTTCAGTATAAAATTTATACAATATAAATTAATTTTAAACGAAAACAAAATAAATAAATTTATTTTAATTAAACACAAGTCACATATTTATATATATGACATATAATTTTAGTTTTTTTTCTTTAATTGTTTAAATTAGTGTTAAACATATATGATCTAATAAAAAATAGCCATTTCATAATAAATTAATTCAAAATTAACTTGTATCTGTTTAAATACTTTTCATAATAAAATCTAATTTTAATATGAAAAAAAAGTACAAAATTTACTTTATTTTAATACACTATCCATGAAATTTTTTTTCAGGACAATTAATTCGTTGTTTTCAATCGTAAATAATGAAAAATTTTGAAATAGAAAAAAAATAATTAATAGATGAATTAAAAAAAAGTAAAATATATGTTAAGGTTGTGATATAATCCGAGAGCAACTTAAATATTTTAGTTTTTATGTAAAAGTTAAGATATCGTTCGAATATATATATTCGTTTACAGTAGAGCACAATAGATTTCGATATTTTCGTAATTTGCCCTACCCTGGATTTCTTTTCAAAACATTGAAAATTTTAGATAAATTTTAAAAACTAATTTAATTCAAAATTTTTTCAAACGTAAACTAGGCAAAAATAATACGAAGTTTCTTTAAAATGTCTAATTGAAAATCATTGAATAAATAGAATTAATTGTAAGCGATCCTAATTAATTGTTTTCTCATCGATGAGTACCCACGGAAAAATTTTTATACGAAAACCGCGGTTTTATCGCACTCCACCGCGGTGTCAATTCGATAACCGCTGAAAACCGCGGTTCACAGCGGTTTTTTGCACCGCATCCACGAAAAACCGCGGTGTGTGCACTCGTAACCGCGTTTTCAAATTTAGCGGTTATTAGAGGTTTTATAAACTGCGCTTTACTGCATCATAACCGCGGTTTCAAATATAGCGGTTATCACCGGTTTCATAAACCGCGGTTTACTGTATCATAACGGCGGTTTCCAATATAGTGGTTATCACCGGTTTCATAAACCGCGGTTTACTGAATCGTAACCGCGATTTCCAATATAGCGG